TCTGATTCTTGGTAAGAGAAAGATAAATTTAATGGGCAGCAAGAAAAGAGAAAAAACAATGCATCAACAGTGCCATTTTAAATAATGGTTACGTACATATTATGTATACTGTGGATATAGTCATCATGACCTTCCATGGTTCTTATCAGCTTTCCATCCTCCAGACTAAAGATGTAAATTTTGTTGTCACCACAACCTGCATATATATGACCATTTGTCTTACAGTACAACATGGAATTGACATCAGGCTTCTCTAGAGCGTCTCTGTAAGAATATGTGAAATAAAGAATGATAATGCAATCACTAAATACTCATATGAAAAATATGTACATCTTTATAATAAACAGTTACTCTCTCTCTTCTGCATGTTGTTCTGATGTAGTTACACTATTTACAAAGCAATGTGTCTCTAGTTGAATTTGTGAAGCATAAACATCAATTTCTTGCAATTAGACATAATGAATTACATTTATATTAGGTGTAGCATAAGCATAAATATAACAAAAATTCTGCAACATGTTTCAAGATGTCTCCATGCATGTGGGGACATGTTAAAGAAGCTCCAATATTATTGATGGAAAAGTCGCAACAAGCAAGTTTTCTGCTGATAGTAGCATGTTTTGGTTTGGGTTTGTAAGTAATGATTTACCTTTCTCAACTCAGTTCAAAATTACTTGTACAGACTGACAGCTGATCTGGCATCAGTCAGTACAGGGACTACAGATTAGGCGACTGGGGTTTAATCTCCAGCAGGGGCAAGGGCAAAGAATTTTTCCTCTAGCCTTACAGACCAACTGGCTGTCGGGCCTACCCAGCATCCTATACAACAGGTACTGTTGGTATGTTCCCCAGGTGTAAAGCATGGCTAAGGCATGATGCTGACCCTCACCCCCACCTAGTAGAAGTCAAGAATGAGTAGGAGCTACCCCCCCACCCCCCAAGTGCCTCCATGACATGAAATGTAGTGGGGCAGCTCACATTATTTTATTCATATGTATTCATAGTTTATTTCATGATGCTTTCAGCATCTCAGACTATATAGCATTGAATGAGAGGATGATAGTGAATAATGAATCGGAAAGGAAGCGTGGCCTAATTCTATCCTTGAATTTGCCCGGAGGGACTGAGGAAAACCACGAACAACCTTAGTCAGGATAACGTCTCTGGGCCAAGATTTTATCCCAAGATCTAAATATGAAGCAGGAGTGTAACCACTCAAACACTATATTCAGTTTTATTTACTTATAGACAGCTAGAGCATTCAGATCTGCAATTTTAACAAATTTAATGCCATATATATATATATACTAAATATATCATTAGATAAACATATTTGTTGCACTTTCAGAATCAACTCACATAACCTAATTTCAGAACCAATTATTTGTACCAATTAATCAAACACCTTCATCGCCTTTATTTGAGTGCTAATTTTCTTTCTGTTATGTTTAACACCATTATTTTGAAAATTCTGTCATACAGCTATGTCAAAACATGAAAGAAACTGAAACAGAGAGGTTAGTATACATTACTTTGCAGTAGGAATCTGTATGCTGAATGCTAGTTTTGGGTTCTTGCTGTATGTTATGGTTTTCCAGTCCCAGCCTGTAATTTCTCCAACCATTCCAATAAGAAGAAATTTCTCAGTTGTGACCAGGCTGCAGATCTGAACATCTTGTTTTACAGAGAAATGATATTCAGCTTTCCTACAGGATGGAGTCAGGCCATCTCCAGGGCTTAATATTTTCTGTAGACTGAAAATATAAGCTTGAGAAAGTATAAACTGAAATTATGAACATAATTTATGTACAAAGAAATTATAACAAAATTCTACATAAGAAAACTGCCACAATCTACAATATAATGGTGAACAGTAATGTAGACCTCTTTAGCTAACATGATGTTTTTAACTAAATGCACTGATTACTGATGGGTGTCTGCTGTAGTACTAGAAGAATTATATCAAACATTTTCCTTATAACTTTTTTGGACAAAACTTTCAATTTTCCCATTCAGAATGAAGTTTGGTCACAGGTTAGCTACTGGTTATGTTTGATTGTTTCAATTGAATTTTTGCTTATGTTCCATCTAGTAATCATACAACACCAATTCTGAGAGAAATTTCAGAGTAGATCATGACATGGGTATGTGCTGAAGAGTTTCAAGCTCACTGTCACTATCTTGTAAAGTTGTTCCCCAAAAACAATTCCTTAATATGTTTAAATATACCAAGTTAATTAACGGGTAAATTAAAACACTGAAAGGAATGTGACAGTGATATGAAAACTGAATCGGAAGTATGAGGCACACACATGACCTATTTCAAGAAATTCTCCTGGAATAACTGAGCAAAACTGAGACAGTCTCAAGACAACCTGCTCCCCAGTTGAGACTCGAACCGAATACCTCCGAAATACAAATCAGACGCAACACTGGCGCACAAAAATACTCCGTCACAACGCCAGTGAGGAAAATATCTTACAAGATCGGTAAGCAATCTAGATTCTAGATTTGTAATGTAACTACAATTAATTTAATTCAGTCTAGTGAATACTTCATTTATAGAGTGCATGTATAGATACATATATGATCTAAATATTTCATTAACGAAATGACAAGGCTAATAGCCCGAGAATATTTTATTAATGCAGGTACAAATTTAAAAGAACCGGTATGTAAAATCACATTATCGTAAAGTACTGAAACAAAAGTATAACATATTAACTTCGAAACCAATAACATGTAATTACTCATAAACAGCAATATCTCCGTAAGTATTTCCCACAAGAAGATAACTGCCGCATGGTGAAAACGTTTGTGACAATATCGTATTATACAACAACTTGTCCACCATGTTTAAAACTAAAATGACTACAGCGCCATACGTGTGAGGAACATTTACTAATAGAATTCTCAAAATGGAAGCGTTTTGTTGTGAGTGTGTAACGTTTCGCGTTGATTGTATTGCACTGTAGCTATATTGTAAGAAAAAAACAGGAAAGAGGTAAATAGAAATCAGAACTTGTCTCTGTGTGCTCTGGTGAATGGTATATAACTATTGTGTACTTGGGATTAAACGTAGAGAGAGTTTTGCTATCGGTACAGTGGCGTTTTCGTGGATGAAAATACACTTCCAAGCGTTTAAGCATCACCTATGCCTACAGGAGTAAGAATAGAATCGAATTTATTTACATTTCATAAATCCTTCATGGGCCTTGGCCAAGGATGTAGAACATGTCATAGCACAAATACAATACTTGTTTGTAATACAAATATGAATTATTTAATTATGACAGTAATTTACATTCAGTTACAGTATTACCGCAAAAATAATTACACAAGAAGACATAACCACTATTGCTTACATGTGTTTATAATGGCTGAGAATATCTGCTTGAGGTAAATTCTTGTATGGAATCGAAGGAGTGATTTTGGAGACAACTTTAGTGCAGGCTTAAACTTCTTTATATTGTAATTCAGACTTTTTATATTAGGGGGAAGATTATTGAATAGCTTAATTCCAGTATAGTAAACTCTTTATTTATATTTACTGAGTACTGTTTGGCTTATGAAAGTTATATCTGTATCTTGTACTTATATTGTTGATATCTGAGTTTGTTTGAAATTTTCCTGTGTTGTCCTCTACAAACGATAATAACATTGATATAAGAAACTAATTGTTTTGCTGCATCTGTTTGCTGAAAGATCTGAGGTGTGAATTGCTTGTAGAAGTGTGTCGTAGACTAGGTAATTTTGTGCTGTTAAAACATTTTAGAATATCACAAGTACTTATCTTATATCAGAATTATTAAGAAATTTGTGATACTGCCCTCCACTCTCTCCATTTTATTTTTTATTAAAGTGATCATTGCCAGTGGACATCATGGTCTCCTATTTATTATTATTATTCATCATATTTACGTGCTTTCATCTGCATTTGTAAACTCGTGTAAGAGAATTAGGCTTGTCTTCTTTTTAACACGATTTAAAATAATATTGCATTGACTTCTGTTTGTTCATGGCATCATTGATAGTAAAACAATATTCCAGTAGGCAATTAACATTTTACAATTTTAAAGGAATAAAATGTGTTTAGTAGCCTAGAATCTTAATAAAAATATATGGATCCTAAGAAGTGGGGTTTATATTCTGAATAATAATTCTAACCCTTTACATCTCTTGATATATCGACATTATTAAAGCGTTTTAGGGAACTGTGAAGAATTTTTATTTTGGTTTTACAAGCCTAATTATCGATGACTCTCCCTCTCATTATCTTCCTACAACAGCAGATTAAATCCGGGGAATGCTTGCTATCATTCAGTGTAAAATCTTTTGTTCTCCTGTCTCATATCAAAAGAAAATTAAGATTAAAATTAACCAAAGTATAAATTTGCCTGTTTTTTTGTATGGGTGCAAAACATGTTCTCTCACTTTGAGGGAGGAACATAGATTGAGGATCTTTGAGAACAGAGTGTTGAGGAAGATATATGGACCTAAAAGGGATGGAGCCAGATCATTGAGAAAATTGCATAATGATGAGCATCACGACCTGTAATCCTAACCTGATATTGTTAGGATGATTAAATCGAAGGCGGATGAGGTGGGTGAGGCATGCAGCAAGCATAATGGAAGGGAGGCGTGTTTACAAGGTATTAGTTGGTAGGCCTGAAGGGAGGAGACCGCTGGGAAGACCTAGGTGTAGGTGTGAGGATGCGTTAAGATAGACCTTAACATATTGTCTCTAGTTCATGTTACTGCAGTTAGTTTATATAGATACAAAATATTACATAGGAAACATAATATTTAGTTGTTTATAGATAGGAACTGTGGTGTTGAAAATATAATTTCCTAAAAAGATAATTGTTATAATTCCCCTCCACTTTTAAATTTATCATTTGTATGTCGTGAAGGTATACATTTTTTGTTTGACTAGAGCAGGGCGCTCCTTTCGGAGCTCCTAGGGGGCGTTGGTCAAGTTTGTAAAACGCAACCAATCTTGTGTAAGAACCTAAACTAAACCCCCCAAATTGAGGGTTAAAACAATTGACCAACCCCCCCCTTCTAGAGGGGTTGGTTGCGTTTTGAAATCTTAAGTAACAC